ATTGGTGAGAAGGTGTCTCCAGCTAGGACAGCTATGGACCCCTCGAGACAGCCCAGATGAGTCCATCCCTCATTTCTACCGCCAGGAGAAAGGCGAGGATAATTGCTCTGTTCCCATGGCTGCTTCAAATTGCTTTGAGAGACCGAGGAAAGTCATAAAGGAGTAACTAACCACCTTGGCTCTGACAAAAGCCTGGAGTCAGGCAGGGAACATGTCGTTTTTCTGTTGTTTATTCCGTACTAACCTCTGACGGATGCTTTATGAGCGATATACACTGTCTCCAGCTGAGTGAAGGAGCTTTTCCACCTGTGAAAGATGCCATTCTACAGTCAGAGGTTATTTCTAGATGCAGATTGCAGAGTAAAACCCGTCTTTGTGTCTCATCTGGCAAACACATGAGTGTTTTCCCGATTGATCACCACACATTTGGGTCTTTTCAATAATCACGTCGAGGGTCTCTCTGCCTTTAGACAGTGTGTGAAATGTGTTTTCTTTTTGCCATAGTGCGATTTATAAAGAATTCAATGTAAAAACAGCTGTCGTTTTTGTTGTTTGTGTGAACATATGTGCCCTTTTTCTCACACTGTTACGCTTTGAGTCGTGTAGGAGTCGCAGTGCGGGACATAAAACCCTTGCGCGGAAGAGGAATGCTACAAAAACACTCACATCTAAAAACAAAACAGACGACATGGACTGCGGTGCACCAGCTGCACAGGTCGAAACAGATTTCCCTCAATCTGTGAGTGTGACGTACACAAGCAAACAACAATGTAATGTCATCTGCATGTCATAATGAGGAGGAATATGCAGCAACATCTGCCTGCGGTACGCTCAACAGCCGAAAAAAAGCAAGAAAATGTTACCACGCATGCATTATTCCTGCCGATCCAAGATCTCAGAAGGGTTTGAACAGACGTGCATGCACACGCACACACACACACACACACACACACACACACACACACACACACACACACACTGTCACAGTTTAGTGAAGAGAAAGATGCTGCAGAAGAAGTGCACACGTCCACCACACTGCCACCCAGAGAGTGCGAGGGATGTGGTTCACTGGATAACACGAAAGGGGAGGGACATAAGTGAAAGGAACGACTGAATCTGATTTAAGCATATGACATGTTTTTACCACGAGATTCCTCAACTGTGGCAGAAATTAAATATACATGAGGTGTCTGTTAGCACACTTTGTTCAGAGATCCCTGGTAAGTTCCAGAGGGGAACATATTCAATCATTGCAAACTGGCAATATTAAAGTCCAGGAAGACGGTGTAATGCATTTCATCTTCAGCCATAACCTATTGTTACTACTACTCAAAACTGGTACAAAACAACTGAATGCAATCCTTAACATGATGAATGACATTTTTCTGGAATTATTGACAATTTGCCAAGATTCAGGTTATGCTTTGAAATCAGTTTTTGTTCCCTAAATTCTTGGAATATTTTAGATAATGAGCAAAAGCCTGTTTTTTGAGCTCAGTCTGGGTTAGGGTCCAAGTAAAACGCTCGAGACTAAAACCCCAGTGGCTCGGACCAACTGGCAGCTGGCGGCGTGTTCACGTTGCGAGTGTGTGTGTGTGTGTGTGTGTGTGTGTGAGAACAAAACCTTCTGGTTTACATTCATGGTAAATACCAGTACCAGTTGCAATATGTACCGTCCGATTTGAGTTACAAAAGCTGACTACGCAGCTCTGCTGTTTAAGGAAATGACAAAAAGGTTTTAAAAAAGTGTTGAATCTGCTCCTCCTTTACTCGCTGTAAATATTCTAGTAACCTAAGCAGACAACTTTTTTGCAAGCAAACTCTCATCCATGTATAATGTATTCCATCCTGAAAGCAAAGCTCGCTAGGTTTCTTCCAATTGTTATCGTGTGCCTTTGCGAAATGCCTCTTTTTAAGCTCTGGGTCAAGAACACAAATCCACATCTTCATGTGAAATTCATTCTGACGACTGGGGCATTTTGCTCGATACACACTGCAAAATGGAATCTTCTTGTCTCCGGAAACGCTTGGAGTAAAGTAATCGCCGCCTTCGAATCTACACAGCTTCTTCCCTCCTCTGTACTTAGCGAGTTCTTTAAGTCACGGGCTCCCGAGGAACGCTGGCCTCCAGATGTGCGCCTCGCAGGGTTGGTTAGCTCCACGCAAACAAACACACACAGATCCCAACAAACAATCAATGGAGCGCACACAATCTTTAACAGACACACAGATATTAACACACGACCCGCACGCACTTTGTGTGTCTTGTTGGTAGTGGCACAGAGCCCTTAGCGCGCGACAGCGGTAAGTGATGGATGCTGCGATGTTGACAGGAGGAGTAATTATGCTTTGTATGTATGTCCCGGTATGGGGGCCACCCATCACTCTCCATTACGGCCCCGTGTTGTGGCAGCCTTCCACTTTGTTTAGCAAATGAAATGCTTTTCCACCTGAGCGCTCCGGAGGAATAAGGAGAGGCGTGGCTGGGGGGTGCATGTCGTGGGTTACGGGGGGGGTACAGGGGTGAGGTAAACACCCCCTGGTATATTTGTGTTGCATCCTACGTGCGCTATGTGGGGAATGTAGGGACACACACGTGGAGAAAACAAGCCTTAAAATGTGTTTTTTGGGAAGGGCAATATACCTCGGATTCCTCCCCGTCTGATTGTGGATTGATCTGTAGCCAATCATTTCAAAGCCATATAAGATCTGTTTGCTGGTCTGTTGCTGGGATTTTGAGCCTCTTTCATCCGTCGTTTTTTATTCCAGAAACGTCAAACAACAAACAGGAAAGAGGGAAAATGTAATGAAAACAATTGTATCGCCGCGCTCCATGCAACACATTATTACAGGGCGAAACATTCAGCCTGCATTCCCTCCGTGGCGGATGGAGATGGGGCTGTTTTCTTTGTCACATCGCAAACGTAGAGGCGGCAATTATTGACATTGCCTCTGGAATTAACTACAAATGGAAGAAGAGGGAAACAATTTAGCTGTGAGCCAGTGGAGGAACATCCCTGCTTCTTGAACAACACTTCATGATTATCGCTGTGTCTGCGTTTGGACCGGCGTCTTCTCCTCATCCTCCTGCTCGGTTAAGCTTAATAAGATTTGCACCACCTGAACCCCAAAGGTATGATGAGCAATGATTGGCAGCAGTCATTATTGATATCAATCATCATTTGCTTCAGCACACCAGCACCGTGTGTATAATCGAGCCTTCGGCCAAGGTCAAAATTACAAAATCATTAGGATCTTTCCAATCTAAATGACAGGGCTAATCACTTCACGTTGCAACTATAGCAGCCGTGCGAGCCGTCGTCAGGCTGCCGGTGCGCTGGTGCATGTGTGTGTGCATGCACACGTGCAAAGTTCCACTTGTACAATGATTAATCCTTGCTGTTGGGGGGTTAATAAGAGTAATTTGGTTGTGCGTAATCGCTCCAACTTCCCCAAGTTTAATGGCGTTATCATTTCCTTATGCAGCTTGTTTCTCTGAAGCTTGTTAGGGGATGAAGGAGCTGTGTAGGTCAAAGTGAGAACACACAAGACTCTGTGGCTATATTTAGCTGGCGGGGGAGACTTCTTTTTTTTTTCCTTTCCTTCGCCGACCCCGTCATTGAGAGAGAAAAAGTTTGCGATGTTCTTGATGCAAATAGCCTCATTTCCTCACTCTCTGCTCCAGTAACCGACTAAATCCACACGATGCAGGAGAACCTCCAGCCCCAGTTAGAGTAGGTGAACGCCGGAATAAATTTCAATACGAGTGGTTCCATTAACTCCACTTTTGACAGGCTGAGCATAATATTATTTAGAAGCGTGGCTGCGAGGTGATAACGGGCGAAGGGGAAAAGCACCAGGGCGTCCAAATATAGAAAGCAAGTGTCATTTGGTCCAGGTTTTGCTCCTCGCAAGAATCGCTTGACGAAATGGTTTTAAATTCATATCAGCTCTTCAGACTCACAGCAGAGAGACACAGTGACAGTAACATGCTCTCCAACTATCAAATTCAGTTGTAATGCTAGCACTTCATTTACAAGATTTCATTGAAACTCTCCGGGGGTGGGGTGGGGGGGGGGGTCTCATATAACTAATGTTAAGGTGATTGCGGTGGGATTTGAAGGAGCTCAACTGATCTCGTGAGACATTTGGAATTCATCACAGCTTCAACACTGATGCAAAATACGTTCTACTGTTAAGTTAAGTCTCTTAGGGCCACTGTAGGACTTAGTTTATTCATTTTAGGTGATTTTAGGTGAGTATTAATACTAAAATATCTACCATCAGTTTTTATTTATCAGCCTATACAATTCAAAGGCTTTCACAGCCACAAAGCACACGACCAAATTGCATTTGATCGGACGGTTTACTGGTTATTATTTCACCGATATATATATATACGCTGGAGGATACTTAATGCACCTTTAACGGGCGTATTTTACACTCACAGTTATGTCTTTGGTAGACTTGTCTTCCCTCCTATACAAAAACAAAGAGCCGGTGCTCAACACGGCAGATTAATCGGGCAGATAAAATGGCAAATGGCGACCTCCTTGTTGCTACCGAAACAGCCATTGTGTTGACATTACGGCGCTGTGTTCGCCGGGGAAAGACATAAGAGTCCCAAGTGAAGCATTTCCGTCGAGCCAGGACAGGTCAGCGATAACAGTAAAACAGTTGTGTTTAACCAAGCCCCACCCGCCCCCCCCGGCTCGGGGACGCTCCGCCGAACGGTTTCCTGTCCGTCCCATTGATGGGTTCATTTTTACGTCCTTGACGGGTCAGACCACCAGGTGGACTATCCAGACGTGCCCCCTATGGCTGTCTGCGTCCGCATAGGAAGGAGACATGCTGACAGCCGGTAAAGTAGACGTGGACATTTTTCGGACAGTTGAAGAAAAGCAACCACGGGTGAAAGAAAAACAGCCCGGTTTTCCTCGGCTCCAGTTGTGTTCTCCGGGCGTCTGTGTGTATGTGCGAGTGAGTGAGTGAATGTCTACCTGTCGGAGCCTCGCGTGGGATTTCAGTGTGCGTCCTGTCCGGATCCGCGTAGCCGTCGGCATTTTAACAGGCCTGTAAGTTACGTCGTAAAAGGAAAAAGAAAAAAACAGACATTTATTGGTATTGCAACAACCGGTGTAACAAACACGCTTATAAAGCTGTCAGGTTGTCAATGTGTGGGGGAGCTTGCTCCTGAGGGTCCGTCTGATGAAGTCATAATTAAAAGTCAATCAGTGACATATTGCACAAATGCGTCAGATCATCTACACATAAAGAAATACACCTCCCGTGCTTGTATTTCACGCTTCATCACCGTGGTATTTATGATGCCAATACCACAATATATATATATAATACACCGATTGTATAATGTTGACACGGTGCAGCTCGTGTCTTACTAATAAAACGCGGCGTTAATTGATGGCTCGTGCAGCAGATGAGCACGACTGTGAGCGACACAGACCATAGATTTATTTTCCCACCCAGGCCGGATCCAAGTGGAGCGACGTACATCAGAGCTGTCAAAGGACACAACTCAAGTTTACCTCAGCATCTTCACCACCGGCTGCTGTCCATCACCAGCTAATTCAGATTAATGACGTAAGAACAGGCGACGGATCGAGCGCTGTCCTTATTCTGTCTTTGACTTCACCCCTTCTTTTAGGCAGTGCATTGTGGAGCAGCAGTGGACACTGTATATTTACTTTAACATAGTATTTGATAACGGGTGGTCTCAAGTTGAACTCAAATAATCGGATCATTTATGCCTGCAGAAGTTCTAGAACTCCTTTTACCGTATTTTGGATATATAACTAAGAATCATTTTAAGCTAACGTTAGAATGGTCAAATAAACTGAGCACAAAGCAATTTATTTGCTGCACTGGGGGCTTTTTAAAGTGATTTAAGAATGTGGACCTCGCCCGGCTCGGCTATTCATTACACGTCTCAGCCGCCGGGGCCAAGTCCTTCTGATATGGAGCAGGGGGGCGGAGCGCCTGCTTCTAGTGCAGGGAGGCAGCACCGCCTTGCTTCACGTTTTGGCTCGTTACTGATAGTTCTGGCCTGGATTCGACACCCTCCCCCCCCCCTCCTGCTGCACCAACACCCCTCCCACCCGATACAGGAAGACGGACGGACGCGGCAAAGGATGCCATGACAGCAAGTGGCTCTCAAGATCGGTTCTGTCGGCTGTCGGGATTTGCCTCACATCCCAGAGCACCATGCCGGCTGTATCCTCTGTGTGTGTGTGTGTGTGTGTGTGTGTGTGTGTGTGTGTACACGTGCAGAGACAGTCTCTTGTGGGCTCCGGCTGGCTCAGCAATCTGATAACGCTGCAGACAGACCAAGGGCACCTCTCCCTCCCCGTTCTCATCAGCCGGGTATGCTAAGTTCACAGGAGCAAACCCCCACCAAAACAGATGATCCCACTGCGTAGGAGGTGTTATCAAAGTAATATGCGGTCCGAAAGCATTGCTCCACGGCCCTGAAGAGACCCGCAGTCGGAGCGGAGCGTCTCCTGGTCCCTCACGGGCATCTTTTGAAGTGAAATCCATTTTACATTTATGCAGGTCATAACCCCCCCAAAGAGAGACTATTGATCACTGTATCAACGTTTTCCTTTAACTGCAGTTTGAAGCTTATACAGTTGGCATGTGTCATAGTATCATATTCAATCGCCCTAACTAAGGTTCAGCAATATTTTCGGGCGCCAAAACAGTTATAGAGTACTTGGTAGGTGGATTAAGAAAAAGCTGGGAGAAAGAGAGCCTGCATATAGTTACATAAATTACTTGTTATGTAAAAAAAAAAAATCAATAAAAAACATCCCGAGAAAAAAAAACATGCTATGAACGGATCACACAAAACATGATATCAATGAAGGTGACCTGTTCGATTTCACTGCCTGCAGTCGCATAAACATGCCTTTCCTTTACGTGTAATCAGTCGGACTCTGGATCACAAGACTCTCGGGTCCACAGACCAACACACACACACACACACACACACACACACTTGAAGTAAATATTGACTGGAACCTACATACCGCATAGGCTTGATACAATTGAGTGCAGATGCTCACAATTTATCACATGTCACAACAGCTCTCTTGGCCTGACAGTCAGAGCATGATATCAATAACATATACGGATGGCCAGGTCAGGTAAGGTCCCCCCCCCCCCGAATAGAAAACAGGCCCTTCTGTCTAATCCCCACAGTAGACGGCGCTCAGCATGCTCCCCCGGTTTGGAGTTGAAGCCGTCTTTAGAACATCCAAACTTTCACCTTCTCACTGTGCCCTCCTCCCCCTGCTTCCAGCTTGCATTAAAAAAAACAACAATACATAGATGTGTACCAGGTCCCGCTTTGTTGTAGATCAGCCTCCGGGCTAAATCGGTCGGACTTCTGGTAATAACTCGACCTCGGGGTTTGCGGGGGTCAGATGTGGCACAGAGACCGATGGGGGCTGCCAACTTCTTCTTATTGAGCTCATTCATTTACTCTAATAGTATTTGCTAAAATAATGGAACCATTCATTGAGTTCACATGTAGCCTGTGTCCTCAGCAGAAACACAGGATCCTCTAAGTTCTATTCTGCAGTCCGGGGGGATTTAAGTAGAAATACGAAGCGCACATTGATTGTTTTGGTTTTCATATTGTGTGGCGAACTAGACGAAGATTAGAAAGGAGTACAGCACTATTAAATCTTCTAAATCAAAGTAGCTACCCAGACACGGGTCTTCTCAACCATCTGTTCCTCTAAGTTAAGTTTATAACAACGGGGACTCGTGGGATCACAAACTCTTACCGTTCTGATCTCCAATTTTGTAAATCAATTCTGATGATAAACTTTTCTTAGTCTTTTCGTGGCCATCTGCCACACAAGAGCCATGAACCATGTCAGCGTTTATTTAACATCCCGGCGAGTTCACTTTTACGCAGAATATACTCCTTCACTGAGGGGGGGAGAGGGGGGTGAGGCCTATCCCGAGTTAGAAGGTAATGAGGTCTATGTTTCACTGTGATGTCTGTCAGCAGGGGGTCCGGCTAATGAGTCGGACCACCGCGGCATCAGTCCCCGTCCATGTAAAATTCACATTGAACGAGCCTTGAAACAGCATGAGGAAACGCACCGGTCTTTGATTGGACGGTTACTCGATGATATCTACTATAAGGGCGGGTGAGCTCACGGCGCCGACAATTTGAAAATACACAAAGTCATTAGTCGCCACAAGTTGACATTCTGTGTCCAGCAGGCTGCTTGTTGCCGTGGGTCCAATTAGGAATATTAAGAACACTCTATTGTGGGTTTCAAAAGGCAACCGGACTTCCCTCTTTGCAGAAACTCAACGACAAAAAACACACAGTTAAAAAAAAAAAAGACGTGCGAGCACAAAGTGACACGTATTCAGCTCTCACACCAAAATCATTATTTTTTTAGGACATACAAGCGGCGTGGCTTTGGGGAAGGCAACGTCAGCCGCTCTGCCACTTCGGTTCAGGCTGAAAAATCTCAACAACTATCAGATGGATTGCCGTGACATTTGGTACAGACGTCCATGGACCCCCGAGGGCAAGGCTCACTGGCTTTTATGCTCCCTTGACTTTTCCTCTATCGCCACCAGCAGGCCGCAGTCTTCACCTCACCTACGGGGACGTGACAGGAGGGACATTCATTGTCAACTCGACCTCCTAAAAATGCGCCTTCTCCAAATTCTGTTCGCTGAAATAAAATATTGCCTTTTCAATAAAACATCTTTATATCAATTAAAATAATATAAAAAGTGAGGATTTGGTGGAGTATTTTACCCCCTCCAGCTCTCGTAAATGATACAGATTGTTTTCCCTACTTTGTGAAATATTTACTATTCCCTTCTTCAGTTTGTGGTTAAAAGATTTATCTCAAACTGACTGATTGATGCTGTGCATCTTTATATGTAGATTTAAAGCTGCTTAGCTCATTTTCTTCAAGGACTGCGGCGGTATGCCATCACAGAGACGTTGGTGAATAACAACAAAAGGATCTTGTTGTTAAAATTTTACATTTTACTTTACAGCTCCCTCCATCCCGTTGTTCTCTTCGGGGGGGCGGGTAGCCGTGCTGCAGCCAGAGGTTTTTCGGCAGCCCCTCTCTCTCCTCCTCCCGTAGATCTGCCCGAGATCAGTCATAATTACAGCGACTCCTGCCGCTTACTGACGTCTCCCCTCGTGTTACCATGGAAACGGCTGCCATCGCGACAAAGGCGGCCGGATTGGCGTGAAGGGGATGTGTATTTCCCATCGGCCATATCTGATTAAAAAGCTCAGCATAGCTAACAAAGGCGTGAGCTGGAAAAGAAAAAGGGGCGGGGGTGTGTGTGTGGGGGGGGGGGGGCTTTTTAATTTCCACATTTCCATTTGCCTACTGGCTCCTGAAGGTCTCGCTTATCCCGAGGAAAAGATACGGGGTCGGCACTCGCGGCTCTAATGGATGCCACGCAATTGCGTGCACGATTGACTGGGAGAAGGAGAGCACGCAGGCGCACTCATTGCTCCAGACAATCTTCAAGGCGAAGGTGTGAATTATTCTTTCGCCGCAAACCTGCCGCCAACGTTTGCGTCTACAAGTCTGTCATGTCGTTGCGGCGCCATCAATAATAAAAAGTTACTTGAGGAGATAAGCAGCGCAACTTCAGGGGCTAAATTATGGATGTTACAAAAAAACAAATAAAAAACATGCCTTATGCATTATCAGTGTCGGGCAAGTTACTGAAAATTATTTATTTAGAGTATTTAGTTACAGTTACTAGTTACTTCTTTTAAAGGTAATTGAATTACTTACCAGTTACTGTGGATCAAAAGTAACCGATGGGCTCTGGAAAGTAACTTACTTTTATGTCTGCTTTTTAAATGTAATGAATATAAATAGTACTGAACACAACTATTGTCAAACACAATAAACATATGTTTTAGACCTATTTATTGTAATCAACAGGGCAACAGGCCTTCAAATCAAGCAATAGTACAAAAGTCCTTTTTAATACTTTACTTAATACAAAATAACTGTTTCAGGCATTTGCCTGAAGGCAACTGA